TTGTGAAATACCCTTCTCTTGTATTTTGTTCTTATTAATATCTTCAACCTCGTCATCTTGCTCTTCGTCAGCGTCAGCTTCATAATGGGAATTCCACTTCCTGAACAAATCTGAGCCCTTTTCGATCCCACTTTTATCAGACACCCATCTATGACTAAAACTCCCAAATCCTTCAATGCCTCGAGCAACTTTGCGAGCCCTGTCCCTCTCTTCTTTAAGCAGTGGCCCTTTCTCTAGCAATTTCAGTACCCTCTCTGATTTCTTTCTTACAGTCAATCCCCAATTAAACCTGCAGATAGGAAAAGTTCCACAGAAACTAACTATATATCGAAAACAGTCTCGTCAGGAGCCAAAATTAGAATCCTCACCCTCTTTCATCAATATACTGAAAACTTCCCATTTCCTCGATAACTTCTCTATCGCATTGAAACTCCTCTGCAGTGCTTTCGGGTCCATGAGTCATCAGATGCTCGAGGATCACAAGTGCCTGGTAAGGCTCTCTCCAATACTTCCTATCGAATTTTGACAACCTGTTCAGCAAGAATATTATCAGATCCAGCTCCCGGTCGCACAGATTAATCACAAATAAATGACCTTTTATGCAGAATCTCGGTGATTCTCCAGTAGTCATCAATCTCAAAGGCTGCCCTCGATATAAATGCCATAGTCCTCGCATCTGGCGCCCATGGATTCCCGTTCGTCGCCTCTTCTGTCAATCTAAAAAAAAAAAACCCAAATCAAACCAGAAAAAAATAAAAGAAAATCGAACAACAGTATTCAGGATCAAGAGGGAGATCGAGACCAACTTACAATTCTGCAGGCGTGACGTCGGTCAGAGCCAGCCTCGCCGTCTTGATCTTCTCTCTGAAGAAAAAAGAGGCTTGCTTCTTCAACTCATGGAAGAAGGGAGTCCCCATTGCGGTCGACATGGCGAAAATTCAAAGATGGGGGGTTTTTGTAAATATCGACCCTTTCTTCTTCTTCCTCCTCCTTTTGACTGGAGTTTTCAAGGGAACGTAAGCACAAGAGAAGAGACAAATCAACAACAACTCCACCAAGGAGGTGATGTAAATGGATAACACCACCGAATTCAACGTGAATTTTTGAATTTGGGTTCGTGCATATTGGTGATCTATGAGAACGATAGGAGAGAGAGAGAGAGAGAGAGAGAGACTTTTATTAAGAAAGAGAAGATTTTGGGTGGCATTTGTTTGGCTTTGAAGGACCGAGTCAAAATGTGAAGGTTGATTTTGAATTTTTAAATTTGGGCATGTAGCCGTTGCCTACGGGCACGATGCGTGATGTCGGAACTATCTTTATTGCCTTATTTTCATATAAGCCCTCCGATTACATTGAAACTAGAGTAGATTTCACAAACTCTCCCTATACTTTAGGATGATTTGCACAAAACAACCACGGGCTTTAAGGGTGTGTTTGGTGATCCGTCTAAAACTAGGAAAGGATCAGTCCTTGCCCATGTGGACGGAGAGAGTTATGGTCCAAACTAGAATTGGTTTTAGAGGCCGAACTTTGGCCTAGGAAAATGGCGCAATTACGGACCTAGTTTCTTTTTTTCTCACTAAAAGATAATTAAAATAAAAATTAAAAAAATAGGGCTAGGTTTATTCTTGACATGGTTTTAAAGGGTTGTCCAACACATCGTAAAAGTTTGAGAAAGCCTTTTAAACTTTAAAAAGTTTTGCAGAACTTCCCAGAACTTTCAAAATGTTCTCGGTTGAACTATGAGGTAAATTCAGTTCAAGAGTTTAGTTGTTTTGTGAAAGTCAAGTTGGTAATTTTTTTTTACATCTCCAGCCTTTGAGGCCAGGTATCATATACTCCCTAAAGCTTATAAAGATCTTATCTAATTTCTAAAGTTCCGTGATTATTTTGAGCAAATTGCCTAAACTTCAGTGGGTTTTACAAACTAAATATATTTGTGGAAGAGGACAAACACATAGGTACAACTCCTATCAGAATGATGAAACAAACTTAAAAAAACAGTAATAGGAGAAAGGAAAATGATGAAACTTTTTATCACACTAAAATTCTAATACTCCACACAACATCATACAGAGAATTCATGTTCACAGGCTCACCTAATCATGTCGTGTTTCAAAACATAGCTTTTATATATATGGATTGACCTTCAATCACAAAAAAATATCAAAATCATGATTTGTATGATGACCAAATTAAGGTTTTCTCAAACCATGATTAATTTAGGAGCCCCTGAGCAAAAAATTTGTTGCCTATGTATAACAAACGCAAATGCTATAGATGATATACGCAAAATTTCAACTACAAAGGATCAGTAGTGTAAAACATCATTTTTTGTAGAGGTTTTCATGCAAAAGTCCTCAATTGAGTAATTGTTTTCATCTTTAATTAACGTCATTTTAACACTGGGCTATTGGAGTGAATGTTAGGCCCCGGATCTGTTGCCATGTGGTGGTTTTCTTTTGTTTTCTGTCTTTTTCCTTTCATTTTGTTTTTCTTCCTTCTTTATTTACTTATTATAACTGTATTTTTTTTATTTTTTTTATTTTATAATTAACAGAAGTCATAATATAATTGGAAGATGCTGGTCTTCTCGTGATAGAATCTCATCCATTAAACTGGGTTTTGATGGCTATAATTTGTAATGCATCATTGATTTCTTTTAGTTACAAAATTGAACCTTGAAACTTTTTGTAACTCTAAATCATAATCACTGGCACCTTAATAATCTTTGATGCATACTATATTCCTTTTCTCAATCATCATATAATTATAGTAACTAGTATGTACCCCGTGCAAAGCACGGCAACTTATTTTTTCTAGCATTGTATTTTAAATTTGTGTATCTCTAAGTTTTAATACATTTGATTCTATTATTATATACTTAAAATTAAAAATCATAAATTATATTAAAATATATGTTACCAAAAATATTGGCATCTGATGCTTATACATTCTTCCTCTAAAGAATATATGGTCAAACCTTTATTTTGCCCAGTTTAAGAATCTAATATTTAATATATTACTAAATCAGCAGAATATCCCTTTACAAAGTTTTGGCACTGTCAATAAGAATCTAATATTTAATATATTACTAAATCAGCAGAATATCCCTTTACAAAGTTTTGGCACTGTCAAAATTTTGCAGCCAATTATTATTCAAGAGGTCAATTTATTTTGTATCTTAAGGGAGGGTTGTTTTAGAAAAGTAAAGTAACTTAAATTGATCTTGTTATTATCTATTTTTTTTCATCTTCCATTTTTCTTGTTGTTTCTACAAAAGAAACTAAGTCTTTATATTTACAAATTTTCTTTTAAGTTAAAATTCATATGCAATTTATTAATAGTTATTTGTGAACTTGTCCCTTTCGTTCATTGTTATTGTCCATAATTTTTAATATAATATTGTTTGTCAAAACAACCTAAGGTTAGGTTGTTTATATTTTTCTATAATGTATTATTCTAATTTGAATTAAAATATTGATGGCTACTGGTGTAGTCACATGAATACATTACACATAGATCTCTTTAAATGAGGATAGATCTGTAGTATGTGAAGTACACGGTCATCTGCATTCATGATTATTCAGGTTAATTTGAGGCTTGCGTCCAGGAATAAATAAAAGCAGTATCTGATGGTTGTTTATCTGTTGGTGGCCAAAAATTTTATTCTATTTGTCCTTTTTAGAAGGTTAAGGTAAAGAAATGGAAAAAAGGAAGCTTTTGACGTTGAAGTCAATAAATCTTTCAAGCAATTAATGGATTATCTAATTTAGTTGACATGTTTATTTGTTATCTAAATTTTAAATATCTTATAGTTTAGATGGAATATTATACATTAAAAAATTACATTACGTACATATAGAGGTGTGAATTTGCACATAATTTAATTAAAATAAAATAATTAAGGCGTAATAATAGAAAGGCACCCTGTATTATATTGATATAGGGATAGTCCATTGCAGTTCTATTCTTACGGATAGACGCCCTTACTATTTGTCAAATGTGGGTAGAGCTTGATTGAAACTTTTTATTATACTCAATTACTCTCAAGAGTTATATTTGATAAATGATTAATTAATTCCCATCAATTAATAATAATTCAAGTCAGAGAAAATAGGAATATAGTGTCATGTATATATCAGTGCCCCTCTTGAAATTTACTTTCTATAGTTGTTGAAATATACATCGTGTTGTAAATATGGATGATACATATTGTCTGCATCTAGACTGTGTATAAAGTATATATCATATTTATTTTATAGACAAAAGAATTTCATCTTGTGTATGTACTATTGGTGAAACTTGTAATCAAGAATGAAATTGTATCGCTATTGTCATTATAACATAAATTATTCAGTTTTAACACGTAAACTGAATATGCATAGTCTATATGCAATATATGTATAGATGACCTCAAAACATGATTAGGTGCATGCATGTAAAAATGACATACATTAAGTACCTTTTATGTTAGCGTGATTGATGTCCACCCACAAATGTTCAATGTCCCAACGACAATGTTGTAGAATAGAAATGTGTCAATTGTTAATATTCAAATACTAATGTTAATAAATTAGCCCAATTTTATCTTTTAGGTAAATATTGGTCATAGTCTATATGCCATTTTAAAAAGCTTTCATAAGAAATCGGTTGGTCAGTTAGATATTGCTTTTACTCTAAGTAAGATAACTGTAGCGTCTCAGTTCAAGTTCTGTCAGTAAGTGAATAATATTTTCTAACATCTAGTTATTGGATTCAATCTTTGTAACTGGCAGGTCTCAGTGCAAGTTTTTGTCAGTAAGTAGATCACACCCTTCTAAACTTCAGTTATTGGATTCAAAATTTGAAGTGTCAAATTTTTTTGCTCTGGATTACTGAAATAAAATATCAAAGGAAGCTATCACAACAGGTATAACCACCACAGGGATAATAACCACAATTTCACTTAAAATCTAATTGGAAGATGCTGGTCTTCTCGTGATAGAATCTCATCCATTAAACTGGGTTCTGATGGCTATAATTTGTGATGCATCATTGATTTCTTTTAGTTACAAAATTGAACCTTGAAACTTTTTGTAACTCTAAATCATAATCACTGGCACCTTAATAATCTTTGAAATAATGCTAGAGGCACACTCCAAACCACATCTCCAACCACACCCCCTCTCTCATTCGCTACAGTACTCCGGGCCCCACATGAGTTTTTAAAATTTAAAAACTCATGTGGGGCCCGGAGTACTGTAGCGAATGAGAGAGGGGGTGTGGTTGGAGGTGTGGTTTGTGGTGTGCCCCTAGTACCACTCTAATCTTTGATGCATACTATATTCCTTTTCTCAATCATCATATAATTATAGTAATAGGGTGTTGCTATCAAGTGCTCAATAACAAGAGCACGGTCCTGATTAACTTCATATGGGCTGTTATCCACGTCCATAGGCCTCATAGTAGGCCCAATGAGACAAAAAAAATTAGCCCCACGTTTAGTCGAACTAAAGATAAATGACTAGCTAAAAGGAGGGGGGAAGAAGCAGATTTGAGTTACAACCAAAGATAAAATATTTGTCTCTTTTTAATCGAAAAGGTGCCAAAGATTGCAAGGTCCATGCTTATAGTTAGAACAACTTAGTTAGCTTGTTAACAATGAAGCTAATTAATTGGAAATGAATAAGTTTCAGGTTGAGTATATATATCTTATGTATACTTAAGTGGATAGGAGATAGTCATCCACCATCTTTTTTATCTATTGATGTTGCATTGGGATCCGTGAAAGATACGAAAGAGTATTTTGAGATTTGTGCATCTCTTGATGGCATAAATCTAAAGACAAGATGAGTTGATAAAAAATTTGGTGGACAATGTTTCCTATCCAATTAAGTTGACATAAGATCATCTATATAGAGTAAAGCTCCTATAAGGGCCCGTTTGGTTGTATGTTTTTACCATGTAAAATGATGGAAAGTGTAAAAAAGTGGGTCCCAATGTCAGCTTTCATCATTTTCAATTATTTGTTTGTAATTGTGAAAATAGTGTAAAGTGGTTTCATATGCTGATGTGGCTTGTAAAGTGATTTCATAAAAAAAAGACATGATTTTAGGAGAACGCTGACATTGAAGTCAGGAAAAAGTAATTTCAACCAATATGATCACTTGAGTAGGGACCACTTTTTACACTTTCCAAACAAACAATTAAAGTTTTATTTTGCAAACCAAACAAGTGTTTTATGATTCCAATGGAATAAAAAACAAACAAAGAAAAGTGTAAAAGTGAAAATGATGAGGTGGACAACAACTTTCCAAGTTGTGTCATAAATACACAACTTTACCAACAACAACCAAACATCCCCTAAACTTAAGTGGATAGAAGTTCTTTGTCCACCAACTTTTTTGTTTATTGATTTTGCATTGAGATTTGTGTTAGCATGTGATACAAATGAAGGCACAAATATCAAAGATAACATTATTGATGTGTAGCACAAATCTCAAAACATAACGAAGAGATAAAAAGTTTGGTGTGTGTATATAAGTGACATTCTATAAAATAAACATGAACTCTTGTTCACGTACGTGTTGCAGTCCCCCAACACTTTTTAATCTCAATGTTATCGTCCTCTCTTTATGTAATACGCAATGAGTTTCTTCAAGCTTCGTTTTTATTTTTTTCGCCTTTCCCCTTGAAGTAAAGGGCAAAAAAAGGATTCATATCCTGTTTAAACTAGCAAATGTAAATGAATGATTGCGATTTGCAAAAATTATCTGTTGTACTGATATAAATTGAAAATGAAGACCCCAATTTGACTAGAGAATGCTGATTTCTTAATCACATATGCGCTCATGATTTCTTAATCACATGCGCTCATGATTGTATGCACAACTTAAACTACTCGCTAAGAAACTAAGACGAATCCCATGCTAAATACACTCCAATTGTATTATTAAAACGTTAAATATCACATAAACTGAGGACACTGGCCACTTGGCAAACTAACATCGATCAACGCTGCTCTGTTGTGTATTACTCCTCCTTGTTATGTGCTTAATTATCTTAAATTCAAGGATGTCATTGTTGGATAGCAGGTTCCTAATATGTTTCCAAATCTGTTTTGATAACAGGTTATTGGGATTCCTAATCTGTTTTGGTAACATGATTCCAAATCTGTTTTGGTAACAAGTTATTAGCTAGGATTCATAATCTGTTTTGTTTTTTGTTTTAGAATTTCTAGTATGTTTATGATTTTAGGATTTTTATATATATGGAACAATTGGAAGAGAGAATTGAGAAGAAAATTGGGGATATTTGGAACACAGAAAAAAAGTATTTTCTGAACTATTGGTTAGGGTTTTGTTTGGAGAGAATTGGAGATTTGTTGGTGAGATTAATTGGTGAGTTTGAGTGATTTGTAATCTCAGTTTGTACTCTTCTTCTCTATTAGTGAAAAACCCTATCCCCTTCTTGCCCCTTGGACGTAGGCAACTTGCCGAACAACGTTAAAATTGGTAGTTTGTGTTTGTGGCATTGATTTGGTTCGTTTGGCATTCTCTCGGCGTTCATTTGATTTGATTTCTCGTAGCACGTTGGTTTGGTTGTTTGGCTTCCGTAGCGCTCAACAGCCATTAATTAGTATACAATCACAAAAAGAAATATGAGGACCCATCAATATTATCACAAGAAGCAAGGTAAGATTCATAGACCCCCTTTGTAATCATCAATGCTTGCTTTCCTTCCCTGTTAATTACTCATAATTAAGTAGGGGGAGTCAACATGATAAATAGAGAATCAGAGATACGTGGGATCGGTGCCCTTGGAAAAACTTGGACAAGAGAGACCCACATCACATGTTCCTTTTTATTAATTGCATATAATTATTAGGAAATGGGGATGCATAATTAGGCATGCAGAATTAGCAAAAGGAATGAAGTGGTCAGAGAGGAGACCAGAGTAATCGAATTGGTGAAGAGATGATTGCAAACGCAAAGGGTAATGATGGTGGCTTGAGGTGGAGGCCAAAATCATGAGAGTATATTCAAATAATGCCTCCTCCCTCCCTCCCTCCCTCTCT